TCGCCGGCCGGGCTCTGCCCCACGCGCAGCCGCCTGGCCAGGAGGGCTGCGGGGCCCCGGGTCCCTTCCCCAGCCCTCCGGACACGTTCGCCTGCTCTTGGGAGGCCCGTGAGGTTGTGATCCCTGCTGGGTCGTACCCATACGGTGACACACCCAGTCTAATTTGGCGCTCTGCGTGGGTTCTTCACAGACCAGCTTTGAACCAGTCAAGGATAATAGGATTGTTCTCCTTGGCTGCTAAATTGGAGTGGAAGTTCTTCTCGAGCCCTTCCCTGCTGCGCTAGGGCTGCTCAGGAGCTCTGAAGGAGGAGCCAGAGCTCCGCTGCCAGCCCCACGAGTGGGTTCTCCTGACCCCTTTTCCCCCCTAAACCAAGCCCCCCATAGCCACTCTCCTCCTCCCCGCTGCAGTTCTTTTCTGTTCCCAGCTGAAGGACAGCACAAACCACGGGGACAGACGAGGTTTTAGAGGGCTGGGCCTCTCCTTGAGGGACTCGGGAGGTGTCGGGGCCGGCGTGTGAGGGTCGGTGTGGGGACACTGCCCAGCCGAGAGCCCCTGCCGTGCCCTGGGGGGGGGAGCTGGCAGCTGCCAGCCCTTCCTGCCTGGTTGGCCCACGCAGGGCGGTTGCACCTCCCTGTTCCCACGGGCCCAGCCTGACCCGCCACAGGGCATTGTGCATCCCTGAGGAGGGATGTTTTGGCTGAGGGAGTCCTGGGCGTTCCAGGGCTCTGGGCCTCCCCAGGGCTTCGGTGAACTGGTGATCACAGAAGGTTGGAAGGGACGCTTGAGGATCGTGCAGGCCCGCGGAGAGGGTGGCCTTGGTCTCGGGAGCTCATTTCCTCAGAGCAGATGTGTCACGGGCGCTGCCGTCGGGATCTCTGACATGCTCTGGCTGGCACAGAGAGGTGGTGGCCCAGCCGGTGTCTCGGTTCATGGCCTGGGCAAGTTCCCTGTGCTATTTCACGCTGGTTTTCTACGCAGTGGACCCGGGCCGGCCCTGCTAGCCCATGCAGATTCAGGTCTGCTTTTGGCTACCTCCCGCCTTTCGTGGCCTCGTCCAGAGCCAGCGCTTACCCCATCCCTGTGTGCGCTGGTGCTGGAGAGCATCCTCGGGGCTGGGGCTGTCAGAGCCTGACCGCACGCCCCGTCCTGTGCCCTCCAGAGCTCTCACGTCGGGCTCAGCCCAACACCCAGGGGCTGTCAGCGCTGGCATCCGCGGTGGCGGCCGGCTCGTCCTCCTGCCGCGTGCTCGCCACAGCTCCAGCACACGGTCGGGCCTCTGTCTGCTGTATTGTCTGAGGCACAAACACGAACTGTTTTTCTAGTTAGTGTTTCCTGGTTGTCTGTAGGGGGCTTGGGAACTGTCCCAAGAAAGAGGAAAGCTGCTTTTTTTCCCAAGGGTCAAGCTGTCCAGCCAAAAAATCCCTGGAATTTAAACAATTGGAGCCCCGTCCTGTTGGGAGCCGGGGGGTGGCTCCGAGGCTTCCCACAGGCTGTCAGGAGGCGTCCCCGGGTGAGCAGCATGGAGGGCTGAAACCCAGGCAGCTTCCGAAAATCTGAGCCCACCCTGGGGGGCTTTGGGTGCGATGTTACACTGCAGTCGCTGCTGTGTTTCTTTCTAACAGCTTTTTGGGGAGAAAGTTTTCCTGGTGTCTGTAGGGAGCAGGAATTTGTAGCTTCTGCCCTTGCGTGCCATCTGACAGCATTTCCAAACAAAAATATCTCATTTTAATGGATGGAAGTTCCTCTGGAGAGAGACACAGGATGTGACCGTGTCTCCTGCGTTGCCGCATCCTCCCCTGCCAGGCCGGGGCCCTCTCCCCTGGCAGCCCCCGCGCTGCATGGCCGGGGGGAGCAGGATCTCTGGAGCAGGCTGGAGACCCCGGGTACTGGTGCAGGTGACCCCGCGTCAGGGAGCCCCTTGGGGCCGTGACCACGAGCCCTCGGCCCCGAGGGTTGCAGTACCGTGGTGCGCCGGGCCCCTCCGCTCCGGCCGGGGCTCGTGCTGCTCCTCCTCTCCCCTCCGCTGGGCCTTACCTCCTCCCGTGCCCAGTCCCACGGGCCAGCGCGGTGTTTCCCTGCCTGAGGCCGCTCCTGGGTGGTTGCTGGGTGCTGCAGACCGCGTTGTTGGCGCCTCCCGGGCCTCCAGAAACGTTTGACCCAGCTCCCGAGGCAGCACGTGGCAGCGTTCCCTCCCGGCGCCTGGGCACCCGAGGGTGCGGGGCTTCCACTCTACGAGATAAACCACTGAAGCCCTTTTGTTTTCCAACCAGTGGGTAGTTGCCTGCACGTTTCCATCTTCGATCTCCATGTCCGGTGACAGGAGCACGGGTCCGTGTGAGGGCAGAGGTGCCCGCAGAAGGCTGCGTCCCCCTGCTGTGGGCCTGCCCGGGGCCTCCGCTTCCAGGGGAAAGTCCTGCGCTCCGCTGCTTGCAGGGAAGTTTCCACTGGTGCTTTGCTTTGTAGGGTGATGGGAGGCGAGCGGAGCCTCGTTTGCTGTGTCCACCTTGAGCAACGGAGCTTTTCTTCACCTCTGGCGCGGGGAGATCCGAGGTTGGTGGCCGACAGCAAGCCCAGGCAGCGCTCAGGGGAGAGGACAGCTGCCACGACGCTTTGCCGTGGGTTTGAGCAGGGGCGGAGCGGGCAGCTCCTTACCCATGGGACGCTGGTGACCGCTGGCTCCTCGTGTCGTCCCTCCTGCCCGTCGGTCGGCTCTGCTGCAGGGTTGCGTTGCCCTCTCAGCTTTTCCAGGGTGGAAGTGCACGGTCAGGAGGATGTCTTGGGACATCACAGGCTGGATCCTTGCAAAATCGCTCCTTGCAGGCTTGGGAAAGGCTTGTGATGTAACTGCTGGGAGAAGAGGTGGCACAGCAGTGCTGCTCTGTGAAAAACAAGCCCTGCCAGGCAGACACGTGCTGTCACGAGAAATTGGTTTTATTGCTAAAACTACTCTGGGCAGTGTCTGCAGAGCCCGGCACGCAGCTCTGCCTCCCCGCGGGATTCTTCTGAATCTGCTGAGGGCTGTTGGGCTGGAGCATCACCAGCGCCGGGCCGCAGGGGACCTGCAGTACATCCTTCAGGCCAGCCGCTTCCATCCGCACCCCCTCACGCAAGACTCCAGCCTTTCTTCTCTTCTGGCTGTCTGCAGCTTGCCCGTGTTCTCCTTGGGCACCCGGCGGTGCTGAGGTGGGCTGTGAGGATGGACGGATGGACACCGTGGCAGCGCTGGCCCCAACAGCCGCATGGAGCCCCAGCACCGTGTGCCCTGTTGCTGTGCTGCCTCTGCACGGATCCACGGAGCTCACACGGATCCACTGAGAGCTTTAATTCGGCATGGAGGGGCTGTAGTTTTGTCCTCCCTTAACGGCAGCACTGCTGGTGTTGCAGAGTGCCACGGTGTCACCATCGGTCACGGTCAGGCTGCTGCTCTCATCACCCATGCCCATCTTTCAGGGAGGATGTTTGCCCTTTATAGAACCCCAGAACCATCCGGGTTGGAAAAGCCCTTGCAGCTCCTCCAGCCCCACCATGTCCCCCCCCGACCATTCCCAACTCCCCCAGATCCCTCAGCGCTGGCTCAGCCCGACTCTTCAACCCCTCCAGGGATCCCGGGGACTCCCCCCTGCCCTGGGCAGCCCATTCCAACGCCCAACAGCCCCTTCTGCACAGAAATCCTTCCTCAGAGCCAGCCTGACCCTGCCCTGGGCAGCTTGAGGCCGTTCCCTCGGGGCCTGGCGCTGGCTCCTTGGCTGAAGAGACAGGGCAGCGGCCGTGGAGGTCAGACAGCTGCATGCCTTGCCTGGTGCTTTAGGAACATGTGGCTGCTTTCGGTTGACTGCTGTGGGATAAATGGCCCGAGGAGCGTTGACTGTGAGCAAACCGGGCCATGAGTGACTCCGGGGTGCAGCTGTGTACCCTGCAGCATGACCTGATCCAGCGTGGCACTGCCAGTGGCTTGAAGCGACCTGTCTCCCCTGGGCAGTGTGACCGGGGAGCAGAGCGGGGCCTGTGCCCGTGGTGCTGGCGATACCGACGTCCTCCTGGGGTTCCCTGGTAGAGGAGCAGGCCAGGGGATCCGGATTTCCATTTCTCAGGCCTCTGGACGAGCCCACTTGACGCCCCCCCCATCTGGCTCGGATGTCCCTGTCTCCGCAGGGAAGGTTTGATGCCGCGGTTGTGGAGTAGATCCCTCTGCACCGGGACGTGGCAGTCGGGAAGTGCTGGAGGGCAGCAGCTTTGTGTGCTGCGGTCATTCCTGCGGGGAATGTTTGCGCAGAGCGGCAGGTTCCTGGCCGAGAGGATCCCTCTGCCTGGGAGAGCAACGCTGGGCGCTGCCCCAGAGCTGCTGAGCCGGACCTTGCTCCCTGCGCTGCCGGGAGCTGCGCGGGACGCAGCGCCCTTGGCGAACGGCACCGGGAGGGCGAGGTGCTGCGACACGGGTCTCCTGTGACAGTCTGGGAGCAGCCGCACGAGGGCTTTTCCCTCAAGTCCTTCCCACCGCCGCAGAAAGCCGAGCACCTGCTGCCCAGGGGAGGGGAGCCAAGCAGGGCCTGTGCAGCACAGTGAAACCGAGTTGAACCCAGCTTTAGTTCACACAGGTTTGGGCTGGAGCAGGGATTTTTGCAGCTTTGTGGTGTGTCAGCCCTTCCTGCCCCCTTATTCTCCTCCTCATCTCTGCTCCAGTTGTGTCTGCAGAGTGCACTGGGCCACGGCCCTGGAGGGAACCGAGCTGCCCTGCTCTTGGTGAGGTCCCGAAAGCATCAGGAATTTTCCACAGCTCCTCACCAGCCAAATGCAGATGCTGAGGAAATAAAGAAAAATCCCTTGAGACTTGGAAAGCCAGGAGGAGCCCTGGGGCTGCTGGCTGGAATTACCCACCAGCCCTGGGAGGGTGTTTGGAAAGTCCCCCAGAAACCAGTAAAACCATGCTGGGAGCTGCCCGAAGCATGGTCGGTGTTTCCTGGCTGAGGCCGGGGCCTTCGGGCCGTCCTGCCCGCGGGGAGCTCACCCTGGCCCCGCCGGGGCTCTTCCCTTCCCGGAGGCAGGGCTGCGGCCGCCTGGCACCGGGGTGGGCTGCGAGGACCTGGCTGAGCCTGGCGAGCCACCCAGGCTGGATGCTGGCCACGGGCAGCGCCGGCT